AACCCTTTTGGTCAGGTTTCGGGAAGAAATGGTAACTTAGGTTGTTCAGGGGATATGCGTATATCCCTGAAAAACCTGCAGCGATATCATCTGAAATACCCTCCCTCATAAGGAGAGAGTTTTGCTTTCTCTTGTTCATGCTAGTTATCTCAGCTTGCTTTCTTTCCATAAAGGTTTTCTGAGCACTGACGATTGGAGGTCGGATAGGTCTATGAGCTGGCATGTTTGGAAGGAAGTGCAATGGGAGAAAAGATGGACAAGGGCAAGCCTGTAATGAAAGATCACGAACCCTAGGCTGAATACAGAGGTGGGAGAAGAAAGGAAGAATGCAGTGAGGGAAAATGACAGGACAAGGCGTTGGAGAGGATTTGGTGAGGTCCCAGGACTAGGGAAGTGAGGGCCCATTAGAATGTTAGGAGAAAGGGCACAGGTTGTATTCAGAAGTAAGTATCAATGAAGAGTTCAAGAGGTAATGAGAGCGGGTCTGTGGCCCCGAGCACACACAAGGCAAAGGGGAAGGGAGGACTGTTGCCAGTGAAGGGGTTGAAGAACCCTGAGGACAGGATGTTCGATCTGTGTCATGTGCATAGTTGTTAAAAAAAACAAAAACAAGAGTTGCTCTGGGGACACAACTGCACCTGTGGACCACTTGTGGCGTTACTCAATGGACAAGGACGACGTGTTTGGGCAGTGGAAGCGATGAAGATGGGAAACAAACCCGGAGCCAGCAGCCACTGCTTCTGAACACTGCCTCGCGCACACTGAAGACCGTAGTAGAACAGAACACGTACTGAGGACTTGCCACAGCGAGACACTGTGCTAAGAGCTTTACATTCGCGTTATTATTCCTGACAACAGAGCGCCACTATCTTCTCCAATTTTACAGAACAGGAAAGGGGGTGAATTTGCTCAGAGAAACATGATTCAATTGGTGGAGCCCATTTGGAACCCAGGCAACCTCTTCCAGCTTCCACGGTCCTAACCACTGAGCAATTTGGCCATTCTGTTTGGAACCCCATCTAGGTGAGGCTAATGACCCTGGGTGGGACGACTGTCGTAAGAAATCACAACGGCCTAAACACTTGGTCAAGACTGGTGGATTTCAGAGGAAGGTCCTTATTATGACAGACAGGTGGAGGGAAGGAAAGACCTGTTTCCCATATCCCCAGACAGACACCTTTGTTAGCCCTGTGAGAATGCCCGGATGGGAAAGAACAGTTTGACCAAGGAGATTCTGCAGTGGTGATGTGTTTGCAGAGCTGGCCATTCTGGGACTGGGCATCATGCAGTCCCCACAGCCCATAAAGAAAAGAATAGATGTGGCAAGGAGAATTCCCCAAGGCTCGATAATATGCTGGAGTCTAAACTAGTTCTGCCTCTTGAAGCAGATGGTATTTGCTGCCCTAGGCTATTTCTAAATGGCTGTGAAAACTGCTGAGAACCCTAACTCTAGAGTATAAGGGAAAACTTTGGAAAGAGCATAAATAGGAACTCTATAACCACTTCATCCCTAGTCAATAGATTCACTCGGGAAAATGCTTTGTTTGTTGTCAAGTCAAAAATAAAAGTAAATTGCAGCCGGAGGCCAGTGCAAAATCCTCCTGTTTCTTACGTCCCAATGAAGCCAGGTTGGTTTCTGGAACAGAGCCTGCGAGAAACCCCAGGAGAAGAAACCCAGAGACTCTCTTCATGAACCCTGTTCCCTTTACCAGAGCAAGTGTCAGTTCCTAAACCAGAGGCAAACCAGGAGCATGACAGTGTGAGCGAAGCTCTGGGAAGATAAGGTGGGCGGGAGATACTGTATATGCAAAGGGTGCCCCCAAATCAGGAAAGAACCAGGTTACAGTATCCTTAACAAAAATATTGTTAAAGTCTATGCAAAGCTTAGAGTAGAGGGGCGCCTGGGTGGCTCAGTCAGTAAGCGTCAGACTTAGGCTCAGGTCATGATCTCGCGGTTCATGAGTTCAAGCCCCGCGTTGGGCTCTGTGCTGACAGCTCAGAGCCTGGAGCCTGCTTCAGATTCTGTGTCTCCCCCTCTCTCTCTGCTCCTCCTCCACTTATACTCTGTCTCTCTCTCAGGAGTAAATAAATACTAAAAAAAAAAACAAAAAAAAAACCTTAGCGTAGAAGAAGCCAGGCCAAAAGTTGGAGGTGAGTAGAGATATGGAGAGCACATTCTAAAAATAAGGATGTGTTGCCTGGGAAAAGGAGCACATAGCACACAGAAATCAAATCAACCGTGTAAGGTGTACTTGTTTAGAGGGCCTGAGAGCGTGTTACCAGACTGACTGGTTTCTAGTCACTGCTTTTTACATGCTCCTGCACCTATATCCTATTTGATGCTCATATTTTCCCGCCCAAAATTCACATCCGCTATAAATGAGTAAAAAATTATAGTTGAGCAAAAAGAAAAGAAAAACAACAACCATAATTAGCTCCATGGAAATATTAGTATATTCATCTCTGATATATTCATCCAGGTTTTTTTTTTTTTTCAAATATACAGCTATGCTTTCAAAAACTGATCATATTATACATAATGGACTATACATTGCTTTTCTCCCTTGGCATTATACTGTGCCACCTCATCCAGGAAAAGATAATTCTTATGTTACAACCATTCCAAAGCATAGAAATTGATGGACAAGTTCCCAACTATAAGCTAGTGTCACTAACCAACACTCTGATACATGATACTAAAATATTTGCAAATTAAATCTAATAATATACCATGACAAGTAGAATTTACTGAAGAATATGAGAAGGTTACAACACTGTAAAATTAATCCATATAACTCACTAGATCAAAATACTAATGGAAGGGAAAGTGATAGATGTCACCCATTCCTGGTTAAAAAAAAAAAAAAAAATTAAAGCCACTAGTCACTAGGAACAGAAAGAAAATCCTATAACCTGAATGGGTAACATATAAAACATTGCATTTAGTGGGAAATATTAGAAACTTTCACAGTAGATTAGAGAGAGAGAGAAAGCTATCTTATATCAGTTCTATACTTGAACATTTTCTTACTTTCTTTAAGATTCTAACTAATGCAAAACATACAGGAAATAAGGGGAATGAATATTCAAAAAGAAGAGATGAAATTGTCACAATTTGCTGAGAATATCATCTGTCTTGGACATATATGAGAAGAATCACTCCCCGCTTGCAAGAAAAAAGGTTAGAAGAGATAAAATATTTCAATAATAAAGTAGCTTTTATATAAGCTCAGCCTACAAAATCAATTGTTTTCCTAAACACTGTCAATCATCTTAAAACAAAATGAAAAAAAATCATAGCTAAAATAGAACTACCTAGTAATAAATATAATTCTGAAAGTATAAGATGTCGATGAAAAAAACATTTTATGAAATATAAGACTTAAGCGATTTAAAAGATATAACATGCTCTTGAATTGGAAAACTCATTGCAAAGATCCTTCTTCTTTTGAAATTAAACTATAAAGTTAATATTTAATGAGGATAACATTTTAAAATATATAATATGCTTTTTTATTCACCCAAAGGCCTCCATTAAGCTTGGGAAAAATTAGAATTTAAAAAAATTTTTTAATGTTTTTATTTATTTTTGAGACAGAGACAGAGCATGAGCAGGGGAGGGGCAGAGAGAAAGGGAGACACAGAATCTAAAGCTGGTTCCAGGCTCCAAGCTGTCAGCACAGAGCCCGACACAGGGCTTGAACTCACAAACCGCAAGATCATGACCTGAGCTGAAGTCCGACACTCAACCTCCTGAGCCACCCAGGCGCCCCGGGAAAAATTAGAATTTTAAAGCAGAATTTCAACACAAAATAAAGAAGCAATACTCAGATTTTGCCTTCAAAAATATAATTAAAAATATTTTTAACAGTTATTTATTATTGAGAGGCAGAGACAGAGACAGAGCATGAGCAGGGGAGGGGCAGAGAGAGGGAGAGACATAGAATCTGAAGCAGGCTCCAGTCTCCGAGCTGGAGAGCCTGACGCGGGGCTTGAACTCACAGACCGCGAGATCATGACCTGAGCCGAAGTTGGACGATTTACCAACTGAGCTACCCAGGCGCCTCCAAAAATGTCATTTTTGATTCCACAGCAAAGCAATTGTCTTGAAAGCCAAGGTTTGTTGTGTGAGGAAAACAGTCTCTATGCTTTAAAATCTCTCCTTTACATTTCAAGAGCTAAATCTGAGTGATCTAGATCACAGGGTTTCCTATTATTGTAGTGTAGGCAGAATGCAGTATGCCAGCCACATAAGGAAAGTTCCCAAAAGATGTAAAGAAAGCACAGAGTGTTCCTCCTCGGGAGGAAGAAGAAAGATTTGGAAGAGAAGTATCTAACACAGAGATGCTGTCTGGACTCCTAAAAGGACATAAACATCATAATATTATCAAAAAGTAAAACGAGGGGTGCCTGGGTGGCTCAGTCAGTTAAGCATCTGACTCTTGACTTTGGCTCAGGTCATGACCTCACCATTCAGGAGTTCAAATCTCACATCGGGCTCTGTGCTGAGAGCACAGAATCTGCTTGGGATTCTCTTTCTCCCTCTCTCTCTCTAACTAAATAAATAAACTTTAAAAAGAAATAAAAGGAAAAAATAAAGGAAAACACTGACGTGTGTAAGTAAGAAAGTGCATAAAATATACTCTAATATATAATACATAGACTTTAAAAGAATGAGAAAAATGATTCGATCTTTACAATCACGTTCAGCTCAAAAAGTATACCATGAACTATTTCTGTGCCAATAAAAATATGTCTACAACACCATTTCTTATGGCTGCATATATTACATTGTATAAACATGCATACATACTTTTCTATTGCTAGATAGTTTATCTCATATTATAACTTTTAGGTCATAACATACAATTTTAGACATAACTCTTCATACACTTTCTGATGTTTGTTGTGTAACAATTTCCTCAGGATAAATTGATAGACCTAGAATTATCGAGACAAAGTGCAGGTGAAATATCAAGGATTTTGATCTGTATTAACAGGTGACTCTCTAAAGTGGTTCTACCAGCCATGTGGTCAGCTTTGGGGCTGGTGTTTCAACCAAGGAGAGGAAACGTAGGTAAACTCGGTTGAAATAATAACCGGAAAAATTGCACCAAAAGAGGTGAGGACAGATCCAGAACCTTCCTGATCGATTCAGCTAGTAGGTTTTCTTCATAAAGTTTGGTTTTTTTTTCGTAAAATGTACTTAATCATAGTTGCTGTAGTATATCAATAAACCTTTCATTTTCCAGATTAAACGATGTTTTCCCAGAGTTAGCCTAGCATAATGCAAGGTAAGTAGACCTAGAACGCTAAGTTAAGGTAAGAGTTGTGGATTCATATCCAAGCCCTGTTTTGTACCTGTATGAATTTGGGTCAGTCACTTGATTTCTCTTACTCTTCATTTTTTTAATTTTTATTAAAAAAAAATTTTTAGTGTTTATTTTTGAGAGAGAGAGCGAGAGAGAGAGAGAGCATGAGCAGGGGAGGGGCAGAGAGAGAGGGAGGCACAGAATCAGAAGCAGGCTCCAGGCTCTGAGCTGTCAGCACAGAGCCCGATGTGGGGCTCCAACTCACGAGCCTTCGAGCTGTGAGATCATGACCTGAGCCCAAGTCATCCACTTAACTGACTGAGGCACCCCTCTTACTCTTCATTTTAAAAATATAAAATAAGAATAATATCTTTGGTTGTTGTAGAGGTAAAATCGTGCATGTGAAAGGACCTGGTATGGGTCTGACACGAAAGACATTAGAGTTTTATTTCATTTTCCTTCCTAGAGAGCAAAAAGAAAAGTAATTTTTATTCAAATGAAATTAATTACTTGTTTGTTGGACACTACACATGAGGGAAAATGTGTTGGCAAAAACCCAAGATGGCGCTTGAATTCTGGAGGCACTTTCCAAAGATATGACTTCTCTGTCACTAACTCTCTATACTATCTTGAGCAAATAGCCAGTTCTTTCAAGGATGCATTGTTCTTACCCATAATGAGGAAAAATATGTTCTGAATCCAAAGGTCTAGCCCTAAGTCTTATTTTGTATGTATGGGAAAATGTATGGACATTTTTTCCCCCATAGATAAAGTCCAAGGCTGTCAACAGAATTTCAAAGAGACCTGTGATGCAACAATAGTGATATTCTAGAATCTAGATGGTTTCTAAAATTTCGTATATATCTAATGCTCTCATTCTGATCAAACTCACAACTGACTCTCCTTTTGGTTCAATATTATTCATTAATATGCTATGAAGCAGTGTAATGCTTTCATGGTGATTTTCCAGCCAGAATTTGTAGATTCTTTCTTGGCCTCGGTGCCTCCCTGCAGTACCATTGGGAAAATGGTATGGTCCCACCATTGCTATACCACAGGTGCTGATTACCAGAGCTGTTGGTTTCCTAGACTTCTTATATTCCTCTTCCTTCTTGGTTCAAGTTTTTAAGAAAATGCTCCCTCTCTAGGCCAATTCACCAGAGAACAAATTTAATTAATAGGTGGCAACATATTGCAACTCTCCCTGCCAAGATACATGATTAAGAAGCCTGGAGGCTTCCAGATCTTTTAATTGTTTTTATTTCAAGCTTCTTGAGATACACAAGATCATATTGAGAACAATGTCAGATTATAACGTCAGCATAATAAATATGAATATTTGTGAATATTAAAAAGTAAACTGAAGAAAAAATACTAGATGTAAATGATAGCATTAGTAAGCAATGTATTCATTTGCAATGAAAATTATAGTGTTAGATGATTGCATTGTGGGGCTCAGAGAAGTAAAATATTTATTCTGTTAATATTTATCGAGAGTCAACAACATGCCTTGCAAGGGGATGTAAAGGATAGAATGTTGAACTTGAATTCTCCCTCTAGGAAAATAATCTATCAGGACATGCAAGAATATAATATATGTATGCAAATGACCATAATGCAATTATAATACAAGTGTTGTGTTCCAACTCAATATGGATAAACTGCCAAAGTTGTCAATGATCAGAAAGCTTTATTATTTTTTAATTTTGTTTTTATGTTTTGAGAGAGAGAGTTAGTGAGACCAGGGGAGGAGCAGAGGGAGAGACAAAATCTCAAGCAGGCTCCAGGCTCAGCACAGAGCCCAACACAGGGCTGGATCTCACCACCATGCAATTATGACCTGAGCTGAAATCAAGAGTCGGCGGCTTAACCAAACGAGCCACCCAGGTGCCCCAGAAAGAAAACTTTAAAATGGAGGAAAGAAAGGGGTGCCCGGGTGGCTCAGTCAGTTGGGCAAGTGACTTGGGCTCAGGTCATGATCTCACGGTTGGTAGGTTCGAGCCCTGCATCAGGCTCTGTGCTGGCAGCTTGGAGCCTAGAGCCTGCTTCAGATTCTGTGTCTCCCTCTCTCTCTGCCCCTCCTGAGCTCACGCTCTGCTCTGTCTTTCTCTCTCAAAAATAAATAAACATTAAAAAATTTTTTCTTAAATGGAGGAAAGAAAGATCTCATGCAAAAGTTAGCCATTGAGGTGAATTTTGATTCACAGGTTGCGTTTGGACACATGAAACATTGGTATAGACATTCAGACAGAGGCAACGGCATGGACAAAGCCAAGAGAGAAATCTGAGGGATTTGAGAACTCTTCAGGACTTGCATTTACTTAAGCTCTCAGTAATATTTCTTAATTACCTGAAGGTAGCATACGTAAATAGAAGTAGTAAGAAGCCAGATAAGAGAGCAAGTCTGTAACTAAACTGGGGAGGACCTTGAATGAAAGAGTACAGTTTTTATTTCATCCATAGGCTCTGAGGAAACATGATGGTGTTTTAAGTGAGGAAGTGATATGATCTGAGTTTACATTGGGAAGGTTAATTTTTGGCAACCTATACTGTGAAACTAGCTGAGGAAAGAAGAGACTAAACAAAGATAATGATGTCAGTGATCCAAAGAGGGAGAGAGAAGGGAGAGAAACTATGACACTCAAATCAGTCATTTTTTTTTTAATGATTGTATTTTTTCCTGATTTGATTTGATTTGATTATTTTATTATATGAAATATGAGCACCCAGTGCTCATCCCAACAGGTGCCCTCCTCAATGCCTATCACCCACCCTCCCCTCCCTCCCACACCCCCATCAACCCTCAGTGTATTCTCAGTTCTTTGGAGAGTGTTATGCTCAGTCATTTTTAAAAACAATTTAACAGTATGGAGGAACTAGAGGAAGAAGGGAGAAGATGTGCCAGATTTGAGTCTAAAGATCTGGAGGGATACTGGAGCTACAGAAACAGAACACTCAAAATCATTGAAGAGAATAGGAAAGGATTTGGATGAAAAGCTATAGAAACTGAGGGATGGAAACGAAAAAGACAAAAAGAAAATACACAGAGGCTCAGCAGCCTATGTGACAATAATCACCAGTCTAGCATATGTATCACTGGGGCCCAAAAAGAGATGGAGAATGAAAAAAATATTTGAAGAATGGCCAAGAAATTTTAAACTTTTTGGAAAATTATAAACCGACGGCTCCAAAAAGTTCAGCAAACCCCAAGAAAGATAACCATATCAATATTCACATTTTTAGAAACAGGAGTTAAAAATTAAATATTCACAGCAGCCAGAGGAAAGAAGAGACTTTACAAGAAGAAATAATAAAACGGGACAAAAAAGGGAAATTTGCAGACTACTCATCAGAAATAATACAAGCCAGAGAAATGGAAGAACATTTTTAAAGCACTGGAAGAACAAAGTTACCCATCTAGCACTGTATAGCCTCTCCAAATGAAGGTGAAATATAACATCGAGCATAGTAAATCCCTAAGTCTGGAGGCCAAGTGTGGACGCTAATGTCCGATGAGGGCATAGAGAGGGGTACATGAGTGGTGGGTGTGCTGCACACAAAGAAAACCAAAACCAAAACAATTGATTACAGGAACAATGGTGACAAAGAATTAAGTTTAGCCCAGATGAGAATCTCAGTCAGAAAGAGATGGTTCTCAAGAGTAAGAATAATGCCTGGGGCGCCTGGGTGGCGCAGTCGGTTGAGCCTCCGACTTCAGCCAGGTCACGATCTTGCGGTCCGTGAGTTTGAGCCCCGCGTCGGGCTCTGGGCTGATGGCTCAGAGCCTGGAGCCTGTTTCCGATTCTGTGTCTCCCTCTCTCTCTGCCCCTCCCCCGTTCATGCTCTGTCTCTCTCTGTCCCCAAAATAAATAAACGTTGAAAAAAAAAATTAAAAAAAAAAATTAAAAAAAAAAAAAGAGTAAGAATAATGCCATCATAAGGGTGAAGGTCAGTCACTGAGGAAAGGAAATCCTGGTGTTTTTAAGGTACAATGCAGAAGGCTCCAGGGTTATTGACAGGTATTTTTCCTTAAGATTATCTAATTCAGTCACTTTAAATAACAGGAGATACAGGGTCTTTTCCTTTTTGAGAAGATCTAATAAATTGAATTTATAAACATCTAGAAAATTATTTTTAAATTTATGAAATTTGGTATGGGTTGGCCGAAGGCCTGATACCATCTTGGGCTGGTCACAGGGAGTCATATTTGCTTCCTGTATTACTTTCTTCAGTTGACAGTTGTGTTTTTTTTAATGCTCCGTGTTTATTTTTGAAAACTTGAACAGCTCTTGAACCCTCAGGTTATGACTGGAGAACATAAATTCTGGTGGGCAAAGGTCCTCATCTTTATTTCCAGTAGAGACGTTTCCAAAAGTCTCTCAAGGCAGTCTTTTCTTTTTTTTTAATTTTAATTGTTAATTTATTTTTATTGTAGACAGAGAGGGCATGAGTGGGGAAGAGGGGCAGAGGGGGAGAGAGAGAGAGAGAGAGAGAGAGAGAGAGAGAGAGAGTCCCAAGCAGGCTCCACACTCAGCACAGAGCCTGATATGGGGCTCAATCCCACAACTGTGAGATCATGGCCTGAGCCAAAATCAAGAGTCAGATGCTCAACTGACTGAGCCACTGAGACCTCCCTCAAGGCAGCCTTTTCTAAACAGGGTGGAGGCAGCCTTGCAAGCCATTGTACCACGGTAACTTCTTGTGTTCCTTCTGCTTAGCCAAGCAGAGAAAAGGGCGTGGCCTCAGCTACCAAGAATTTCCATTTGTTCTTCCAGGCATCTGTGAGGATGCCACTGGACCTTAGCCAATGAAGTTCACTGCAGTCGTGACTCCAGAACCATCTGCAGCTTCCACCTGAGAGCATCCTTTCTGCCCTCAAATCCCTCCCTTTCCTTCTCATATCTGAAAATCTCACCATAATACATAATTCTTCCCTTTTCCTTAACTAACCTCAAATGCTGCCAATGATTTTTCTGAGACGTCTCTTGAATCTGTCATGTTTTTCTATCTCTGTGGCCACAGCCAGTCTTCTTAATCCTGCCTTCTCTTTATAAAACCCATCTTCCCCTCTTGCTACCTCAGTGATTGTAGTCTAAAACTTGGTGCTCCTACCTAAATAAATATATTTTCCCCAGGATAAATTCCAGGACCTTTTACATGGTATTCTAGGTCCTTAGCACGTGGCCAAATCCAGTTTCCATCTTGTCTTTAGTAATCTTTACCTGACCTTGTACACACACCTCAACACGAACAAGCTCCGGACAAGTAAATCATAAATTTTAGTTGACAAAATACTGAATTTTGCTGCATTACGGATGTCCTTACAAAGGGACTGAGGTGTCAATGACTACCCAAGGGACAGGGATTTTTCAACAAGATGACTGTGTATGTCGTACGGTTCTCTCACTGGTAGGAGACAAATGAACATCTCAGGGAAAGATGGAGGCAGCTTTTCCATCAGCTCATGCTTATCATGGATTCCTTAGGGGGAGAGTCATAGTTCAAAGAAATGGAATTCCTCAGTTCCATCTTCAGTTCACGGAGAGAAAGAGAATCGAAAGTGGCTTCTTCTCCCCAATCCAAAGGAAGCTTGAAGAAATAGGGACAACTTGATCCAGAGGGAGGTGCTAAAAGAATAGGCTTGTGGCAAAGCCTTCAAAGCAAGAAAGAATGCAAGAGAACAAACAAGAAGGCCCAATGTGAGCCTGGGAAAGCAAAGGGGCAGCTGCTCCAGTGAGGGCAGTAGGCTCATGCCCTCCTACGGGCTTCTCCAGGATTTCATCTCTAACCATTGATGGGCAGAGAATGAAGAAGGAACAATAGTGGAGTTGGGGAGAAACGAGGTGAAGGAACAGCAGTTCCATCCTGAAGACAAACAGAAGCAGGCCTGGTTGTGGAAAGGAAAGAGCCCCCTTCTCCAAGGGATTTGGGAAGGCCCACTTGACGGAGGCCAGATGGAAATACAGTAAAAGGGCAGTCTCCAGAGGGGGATGAAGACGCTCCGGGGTCTGCGAGAGGAGGGCAGCGAGGAAATCTCCACCTACTCACCTCGAAGCGTGACGTTTGTTGCGCTCCCCCTCCAGCATTCGGGTCGGACCCCTGCAGCTGTGCTGTGGACAGTCTGTATGATGAGCTGCGTGGGGCAGCAAGAGGAGAGATGGTGTCTAAGACTGAGAATGCACGTCTCTTCCCCTGGAGATGACTCTTCTTGATAATTCCTGAAAGGCAAGATGAAAAGTTAGAGACCAGTGACAACAGGAAACTTTAGCTTCCCTAAATATAGAAAGTTCTAGCAATCCTGGGCCTTTGCTTTTGCCCTGGGCTCTTTCCCCATTTACATTACTGCATTGGCCTCCATAGGCACTTGATATTATCTCAGCACAGCAGAGAAATGTGACATACAGATGGGCTGGATTCACAGGAGAAAACGTCACAGAATGGGTGGGTTTGAGCTAGAACCTGGTGGAGGGAGACAGAGGAGGATATGTGTGTCTGGCTGAAACCCCACAGGCTGAATCAAAGGCCTCAACAGTATAGGATCCTTTCTCTTGGACTATGACTAACAGGTTACCAGAGGGATCCCCAGCCAGCTCAGCGTCACTGAGCCCTTAACGTAAGAGAACTCCCCTGAGCTGTTAGGATGGAGCAAGTCACTGCTGTTCCAGCAGGAGAGAGTATATAGTGAAATTAGTAGAAAAGGATAGTTTGGAGAAGGGGCAGTGGGCCAGGTGTCCTGATTTCTATCCCTAGTTATTTTATTGATTTTCTATGTGACTGGGTAATTTGCTGATACTCTGTACCTTCACTGTTTTATCAGTAAAAATTAAGGGCTTGGACTAGGCAACCTCCTAATTTCTTTAGGCTCAAAAGACCCACGACTCTGAGAAAGGTATCTATGCCTGAGCATCTCTACTCTGTTGGACGCTAGAGGGCGTGGTGTTTGGTTTGGGAGCTGAGGGCATCACAAGATTACTCAATGAATATTTATGGAGCACCGCCTGTGTGTAGCAGGTGCTAGCTTATGGACTGGAGATATAGTGGTAAACATCCCCAGCCTCACTGAGCTTAGATTCTAGTGGCGGGGGACAGAATATAAATAAGACACAGATAGAGTAGATTAAATTGTGATAAATGCCTATGTGTGATGGTGTCTGGAATTGAAAGAAGGCTGTGTATAATACATGGAGAGCAGAAGACTGAGGCAAAGATTATGCACACCTTGGAACAGAAGAAGAGTAACATTTTCCTTTCTGTCCACCTTCTGTCCTAACTTCTACATTCCTGACAGTGGGCACACTTTTATCATACACACCTCATGTGCCCTAATATGACCAGGGACCATGGCAAAAATCACCTTGATCAGACAGCCACATTGATCAGATGAGCCACTGTTGATGGCAAACTCCTTTTATTTACCCTGGGTTAGTATTTCCTCCAGTTTTGTTTTTCCTTTTTGTATTTTTGGCCTGGAATTCTAAATTTACCGAACATCATTCAGTCGTTCTTTTTTACCACCTAGATTTTTTTTTTTTTATTAACAATTTCACAGATTTTTTTTCTTTAAACTGGGTAGATGTCAAAGTTTAAAACTCTCTGTTTTGCAAGTCCATTTTCTAGGCTAATCTCATTAGTAGGTCTAGATAAGGCGTAATATTTGTGTCAGAGAAAGGAAGTCAGCATGCGCCAGTATCTTAAGAAAATTACATTTTCTGAGAGCAAGTTGGCCTCTATCTAATCGCTGTAAGACACCTTTTTTTTTTCTAGACAACCAAACACAAATTGGCTGATCCCTTGAAAAAAATAACTCAAGGGTCAGAGAAGGAGGTTAGAGTTTAAGTAAAATAAAACAACCTGAAAAACAGTCATCCAAGTTACCAGTAATCGGAATAGAAAGGAAGTATATGAACATATCCAGATTCAAATGGTAGAACTAAATATTTCGAAATGCATAACTTCTTGGGTAAAACTCAAAGCTCACATTCCAAGTCAAAATTGCAGTGTGCACGTGATGGCTCCTTGTGGAGTCGATGGGGGAACGGAAGATGGGGGACCCGAGAAGGACCCACAACTTCACCGCAGTGAACCTCGTGCCACAGAGTATGAAGAGCAAAGTCATCAGATAAGGTTGTGATGCTTGGCTCTGGGTTTCCCTGTGTTGCTTTGAAAGATGCCTGCTGGCTAAGTCAGAGTGGAGAGTGATAGCTGGCAACTTGACGGGGTCGGGGGGCAACGCAAGCCAAGACAAAGAAGACGAAGCAAGAACAGACTCTAGAACAGATGTGAGCTGCTGGAAGGGCCCCACGCGATCCAGCAGGGTCCTGACAGCCCTTTCATTAAGCTGCACTGCATGGGGTAGAGAAAAGAGGGTTGGGGTCTGCAGCCTATGTCACTGTGTGTGTTACACTGAAAATGTGTGAGCATTTATACTAACGCCAATGAATTGTAGTAACGATTGTAGCCATCACACTACTAAAAGCGAATACTTACATTGTGCCCAGTCTATTTTTGAGTCACTGTTCTGATTACATATGCACCTACTCCCCACAGCCACCCCATGAGTTTGGCACAGCTTTTAACCCCGTGCTGCAGATGAGTAAACGTGAGACACAGAGGAGTTCAGTGACTTACACAAGGGCGCATGAGATTCACAGCTGGAGCAGAAAACAGGATTGTAGGAATGTCTAACCTCTGCCTTCCAGACTGTTTACTCAATTTCCGCTCATCGGGGGACATGGGATGGGGGGTGTTGAAGCTGTGTAACTGCGCTGATGCCCAGAGCACTTCTCGTCACACACCCTTGTCCTCACGCACCCTAACGTCGCCTGCAGTCTCTGGGGTCAAATGGTTCCATCAGGATGAGAAGTACCCCAGCCTGGAGAGAGAGTGCAGAAGGGTGTGCTGAACAGGAGAGCTGAAGTGGAGCGGACGCCAGTAGGGACAGAGGGAAAACCAGGGCTGATGGGTGTCAGAGAAACACCACTGAGTCGGTGTCTCATGTGCCAGGAGAAGAATTACTGAGACCATGTATTTGTGAGTCCCGACTCAGGACACATGGCTTGAAACAGAGCCTGAACATGGACCAGAATATTTGGAACCGGGACTATCCGCCGAATTCACTGGCGTGCCAGGTGCTGAGACTCTTTCCAAGTCACTTGCTGAATGTCTGACGGCATCCAGCTGAGGAGCAGGGTCACCCGGTTAAGGTGCGTGTACGCATGTGTCCTTGCGGAACCTCGCGCTCCAAAGAGCTCTGCAGTCACCAAGACAAACAACCAACACGGGCTGAGAACAGCTGGACAGACCAGAACACGGCCTGCTACACAGAGGTCTTTGGTTTGATATCATACACTATTTGACATCATACCTTTAGTCGTCCCTGCTGTATCTCTCTCTATAGTTAATAGAGAAAACAAAGTCCCAAACCCAAAAATCTTGCCTCATATTCATGCCACACATCTCTGGCATTAGGGAACCTTCTGAGGTTCTTTAATTCATTACAACGAAACAATAATCCTGACCTCCTTCCCTCCCCTAAAACTGCCCGAGGCTTCCGCAAGCTGATTTCTGGATAGCTTTGTCTTCCGATAATAGGAGACACTTCAAAAGAAATGTCCCCCTCTGACGTGGAGAAGAGCCAGGAGAAATTCCCCTCAGAACATCTCCCATAAATGCTTCCATTTCCTGAAACAGGAACAGGAGGCCACAAAAATGAACTCGGATGAGACACTCTGGTGGCACTTGTCATAATGCATTATAACCGTTTATTGCGATTTTCTGGTTTGCCCATAAGGGGCTCTGTTTTAGCCAGCATTTCACAGAGTAGCAAGCACACAATAGACACTCTCTAAATATTTATCGAAAGGGATGAGGGACTTCACTGCTTCTGACATGAAAAAGGAACTCTGAGCTCAGGTGATACACACACACACACACACACGTACAAAAACCAAAATAAAAATTTTACTTCCTTGATCATTAAGAAAATCAATTCAGAAAAGGAATAATTCCCAGAGTTGTCATAGTATTTCTTTCTGTAATTTCCCCCTCCTTGCCATAAAAAAAAAAAAAAAAAAAACCCACAAAATCTAGCTTACTGCTTTTTAAATTTTCTTTTACTGTCAATAAAATACTTCTTCC